GCAGCGGTGCTGTCCGTGTTCGCAAGGCCTTGCCATGCTGCAGGTCTCCGCCGGCTGCCAGAGAGAGCTTGGGGCAGGGTTCGCGCCTTCTCGCATCGCGCGCTCCCTGCCCGGCAGGCTGCGGCTGTTCAAGGGGAGCGAGCGAGGCTTTCAGCTCTGGGGGAAGCTTTGACAGGTGAGAGGCTCTGCCTGTGCGCGGCTGCGACTCCCGCTGCGGATGCCAGCTAAGGAGGGAAGAAGCGGCCGGCACGAGCACCCGAAGACCACCGCGCTCTGCACGGCCCACTCGCCCCAGGGGGGTGCCGCAGAGAGGGCAGCGAGGCCACGGCGCTGCCCAGCATCTCTGTCGGTGTCACCTGAGTGACACGGCCCCCACGGCGTCAAGCAGTTTTGTAAGAAACGCGGCGTTTTCTGCTAAATTAATGAAGACTGTTTGCTCCCAGAAGTTTCCTCCTTGTTTCAGCTGGTTTAACTTTGGTGTGGGAGCCTGTTGGGCTCTCCTCGGCTGAGCTACTTACCTCCAGTTCCTTAAATCCGTGGCTTACGGGGATGTTTCTCAGGATGGAGTCCTCCTTATTGATATTCCCTGGCCTCCCTCCCAGGCTTTCAGCAGCCTTTATGTGGGAGCTTTGTTATGCCGGTCTCGAGCTCGCTAACAGGGGGACTGCCCGGAAATGGGGCCGACTGCCTTTGCTGTGGCATCGCAGTGGGAGCTGCCGCCCAGTCGCTGATCATCCTTTGGGCTCGTTGCTGTTGTCTCTGTATCCCTGGTTGCGTCCTTCTGTAATGGGAGTTTTCTCGTCACTGATCTTGGATTTGCTTCCCAAGGAGGGAGGGAGATGAAAACGAACCGTTTGGCCCTTGGCCTTCCCCGCAGCCCCCTTGCTGTGAGCCGCGTTCCCTTCGCTGGCTCTCCTTCACTTACAAGAGCGTGAATTACCTTCTCGGCATCCTGTCACCTGTCCAGCCGCGTTTCCCTCCGGTTAGAAGGGCGCGTGTGGGTTGGGCGCTCCCAGCTGCCGTTCCCGCTGGGGATTTACCCCTCGGCAGGACAGCTGCAGCGGGGCAGAACGCTGAAGCTGGGTCTGGCTTCGCTGGGCTCTGGCAGGAGAGGTTCAGGTCCTCTCGAGGAAGAGGATGAGGAATAGGGATGAAGGGAGCCGGAGCAGCTCTGTGGCGAGTCAGGGCTCAGCAGCCCTGCTGCCAGGGAGTCAGCGTGATGCCAGTGTCACTCTGCTGCGGTTTCTCTGGCTGCACCTGGGCCGGGGAGCATGGGGGACCCTGGGGGCTGGAGGCAGCAGGTTTCCGTTCTGCTCTCTGCAGCCAGAAGTAACCCATTGGTTTTGTTCCATTCCAGGTCTCTTCACACTCCTGGTCGAAGATTTTGGTGAGCGCAAGAAACCTTCCTGGGAGTTGGGTTTCATCCCTGACACCCCCTCTCCTCCTTTGGGGTGGGCTTTAAGCCAACCTCTACCCTTTATTTGCAGGGGTCAAGGGAGTGCAGGTGGAAGAGATCTATGATCTGCAGAGCAAATGCCAGGGGTAAGTCACAAGCAGGAAGGTCCGAGTTTTATTAAGCAGAACGCATTCCCGGGCCGACGGGCGCATTGCCAGGCGCTGCACAGGGCCCGTGCGAGCTCGTTGGTCCCGGAGGTCCATGCTGTGAGTGATGAGCCGGCAGTGCTTCGTCAGGCTGGGGCAGATGGGCAGTCTCCTGGGGCAGGTGGGGGTATGTCAGGGATTCAGGAGATTCACCTCCCTTTTCCGTGGAGAGGTGCAGTGCCAACCAGCTTGCTTGCGGGGTGGGCTTTCGCCCTGCCTCCGTGCTTTGCACTAGGTTTGGGATTGTCGCTTCCATAAAGGCGTTGTCTGAACTCCTCTCGAACACACGTACAATATCCATTTGGAAGGAGGGGTCATCTGGTGCTCAGGCACGGTTCGGCAGGTCGGTCGGCATCAGGGGTGAATTTCACCTCCCGTTTCTCCGTCTTGAGCCTCTAAGACTTGTCAAACCCCAAAGTTTTCAAGATTGGTGTCTGAGCCCACAGCATCAGCTCAGGTGTGCCCTTGGTAACGTGGGGCTGGGGGGGAATTGCGGCAGGGATGCTCACTTCCAGAAGGATGGGGCTGGTGGTTCTGCTTTTCCTGGACGGAGCAGCCCCACTGGTGTGGGCCGGCTGAAACGACGCAGACGCTGACTTCTCTCCGCAGCCCCGTGTATGGGTTCATCTTCCTGTTCAAGTGGATTGAGGAGCGCAGATCGCGCCGCAAGGTCTCTACCCTGGTGGATGAGACATCGGTGATTGACGATGACATCGTTAATAACATGTTCTTTGCTCACCAGGTAGGCTGGAGGCGAGGGGACGGAGGGGAGGGTGTCTGGTGGGACTCCTCAGGGAAGCAGCAGGGTACCGAGAGGCTGCGCTGCTCTTGCTGGTCCTGAGGGCAGCTCCTCTTTCCTGGGAGTCTCTGCCCTGAGCTCCAGGGGGGAGGGAATCCAGTGAGCAGATGCTCTGGGGGCACGGTGTGGCTCGCTGAACGAGGCTGCCCTCCCCCTGTCCTCTGAGAGCCGAGCTCAAGCTGCTGCTCTCACACGTGGTTCTCACGTCAGGATTGTTGTCGGCTCTGAGGGGTTGTGGAAGGGTTGCCTTCCTCCTGCTGGTTAAGATGGTCCTTGTGTCCCCCTCCAGCTGATCCCCAATTCCTGTGCCACCCACGCCCTGCTGAGCGTCCTCCTGAACTGCAACAATGTGGACCTGGGCCCCACGCTGAGCCGCATGAAGGATTTCACCAAGGGGTTCAGCCCCGAGGTAGGGGCGGGAGCGTGGGGCTCGTGAATCTGCCTCCCAGGATGCGCCGGCTCCTTTCCAGCCCTTCCTGGCTGCATTCCACATCAGCGCTGCCTCTTCTCTCTCGTCTGCCTACCTTGCCTCGCGCAGAGCCGTGGTGCCCTCACCCTGCGCACAGCTCTGACGCGTCGAGTTGTTCCCAAGCCCAGCTGCGTTCTCTAAGTCTGTAATCCTGGGCGCTCTCTCCTGCCTTCAGACCCGCTCGCAGTCTGTGTTTCTCTCTAGCTGTAATTTCGTTAGCAGACCTTGTATGTTCTTTTCATCTCGGGTTTTACCTAAAGCTCAGCAGAGCAGAGGGTGTACCCTGAAAGCGGCTCTCCCAGCCCCGTGTCCAGAGGGAGCGGTGAAGCGTTTTGCTTGTTTCCTATCGCTTCTCAATTCTTTTCCTCTCTGGCTCGTTGCTGCAGAGTAAAGGCTACGCCATTGGCAACGCCCCGGAGCTGGCCAAGGCCCACAACAGCCATGCCAGGTGAGCGATGGGGTGTCTGGCAGCTCGCTGTCGGGGCCGGACCCTCTGCTGACCTCTCTCCTCTCCTGCTCTCCTCGCAGGCCGGAGCCACGGCACTTGCCGGAAAAGCAGAACGGTATCAGCACTGTGCGAACCATGGAAGCGTTTCACTTTGTGAGTTACGTCCCCATCAAGGGACGGCTGTTTGAGCTGGACGGGCTGAAGGTCTACCCCATCGACCACGGTAGGAGCTCGCTGGCACGGTCGAGTAACCACCCTGCTCTGTCCCAGTGGGTTTTTCCTTGCTGCTGAGCGTTAGCTGGTGTTTGTGGAGAATCACTCCAATGGCTCCCGCATTTGTCCCGAGTTTTGACAGCTCGTTTTGGAGCCTGCATGCTGGGGACTCTCCAGAAGTCAGTCCTTTCTAAATGCATTGCACTGCTTTCTCCAGCCTTGCCGATTTCTTCCCCCGTTGCTCAGGGCCCCGAGGTCCTTCTGCAGTGCTGAAATAATCCAGCACCGCAGGCAGAATTTGTGTCCTTCTTACGCCCTCCTGGTGCCGAATAATTGCTGTGTGCGGAGCCGCAGATCCCGGCAGGTTATCCCTTCCCTTACAACCTGACCCCTCAGTTCTGCCTTTCAGACACTTACTTATCCCTGGCAGGACTTGGCTGCTGTCTGCCAGGCCCTCAGGTGAGGGACTCACTCCATGTACATGGGTTACAGAAACACGGCACCAGATCCAGTGGCAGGTGGATCCCAGCAGGAGCTGGGATTTCCTTGGACTTTGTGAGCCCAAGCCTTGTGGTCTGTAGGGTTCAGAATTCACCTTTCGGCCCTGCAGATAGCTCATATTTTCCATTCAGGAAGAAATTCTTCCCCGAGAGGGTGGGGAGCACTGGGACAGGTTGCCCAGAGAAGCTGTGGATGCCCCATCCCTGGAAGTGTTCAAGGCCAGGCTGGATGAGGCTTGGAACAACCTGGTCTAGTGGAAGGTGTCCCTGCCCATGGCAGGGGGGTTGGCACTGGATGGGCTTTAAGGTCCCTTCCAACCCAATCCATTCCATGAGTCTATGATTCGGAAGGCAGAGGCAGGGTGTTCCTGCTCCCAGGGATGTAAGGGAGCCATGAGACTGCCGCTCGTGGGGATGGCAGGATCCACTCTGGGAGTCTGGAGCAGGGGCCTTGGCCTGCTTTGGTAAGTCCGGCTCCGTCTCATTATCACAGGGCCGTGGGCTGACGACGAGGAATGGACGGACAAAGCCCGGAGAGTGATCATGGAGCGCATCGGCCTGGCCACTGCAGGGTAACATCCCGGGCCATGGTGCAGGCCCTGGCCCCTCGCCGTTTCCCCTGGGTTATTTCTGCTCTGGTCTCTGTGCTACAAATCATGGAATTGGGGGTGGAGATTCATGCTGCCACTTGCCTTCCCTTGCCTGCCCCTGGGCCGCCTCCAGAGCAGGCGGAGAAGCTGCTCCGTGTGATGCACGTGGCTGTGCGGGATCAGAGCGGCTGGATTAGGTCCCTGTTTGCTCGAGTCCGTAGGAGAAGGAATGGTGCTTCTGGGCCCGAGTTGGGCCTCTTGGATGCCTGGGCTGGCTCAGGTTATGGAGAAGCTGTGGAGTATCCATCCTTGGAGCTGCTCCAAAGCCGACTCGACACGGTCCTGGGCATCCAGCTCCGGGTGGTCCGTCTGGAGCAGGTGACCTCCGCAGGTCCCTTCCCACCTCAGCCAGGCCGTGACTCCGAGGGGTGGGTTGTGCTGTGCCCAGCGCGGCCTCGCGCTCCTGCTCCAGCCGGCGTGAGGCTGACTTGGGTCTGGGGGAAAAGCCTCCCGTGTGGGTCTGGAGAGAGCCCACAGGAGGTGTGAGGGGGCAGCCTGCTGCCCCCGCCCCGTGCTGGGAGACCGGGCTTCCTGCTCTCGGCTGATGGCCACTCTCCCTTCCTGCAGGGAGCCGTACCACGACATCCGCTTCAACCTGATGGCGGTGGTGCCGGATCGGAGGATGAAGTACGAGTCCAAACTGCACATCCTGAAGATGAACCGCCAGACTGTGCTGGAGGCCTTGCAGCAGGTAGGACAGCCCAAGCGCTGAGCGAGCGCAAGCCCGGGAATAAATAGGCCCTGCATTCAAGGCATCTCCCTGTGCTGTGGGGGGCCTGGATTTTGGGGTGTTTTTGGCCTTGGGGAAACATCTTCCGGGAAGAGGAGGTAACCAGCCTCACTGCTTGGCCTTTTGCTGCTCACCTGGGAGATTATCCACTTTGTCGGTGGATTGTGGACGTGGGCGCTGGGCTCGCCCTCACGAGTTGTGCAGCGCTGGAAGGGGAGGGGTGTGGTTTGGGTCACCCTGGTCAAAGCACTCTGTGTCCATCTGTCGTTTGCCTTCAAGCTCATCCGAGTAACTCAGCCTGAGCTGATCCAGACCCAGAAGTCTCAGGAGGCTCAGCCTGAAGAGGCGAAGCCAGCTGGCAGCAAGACCGTGACTCCAGAGAGTGCCCATCCAGGTAGAACCCCGTAACCGTGGCCAGTTTTATGGTCAGCTCCCCTTTTCTTTTCTCCAAGCCCAGCTCCGTGTGCACTGCGGGGGTGTGGTAGATGCCTCTGTGCCTGGGAGAAGCGTTGGAGTGGCACGGAGCTTGGAAATGGGAGGGCTGAAGCTTGGGGACAGTGGTGACAGCTGGAGGTGGAACGGGAGGCGGGTGTGGTGGTCTGGCGGAGCTGTTCCGCTCTGCGGGGTGGGCCGGGGGTGCAGAGGACGGTGAGCGGGGGGTGCTCATGGAAGGCTGTGCTGTGCTTGCCTGGCAGACGGCACCGACGAACCCACCGGCCAGGGTGGTCACCCTGCCGCCACGCAGAGCCCACCCGCCAAATCCAAACCGGTGGCGAAGACGTCAGCGGGCGGTATCAACGGGGCGCCTCCGGCAAACCCCAACCCCATCGTGCAGAGGTTGCCAGCCTTCCTGGATAAGCACAACTACGCCAAGTCCCCCATGCAGGTAGGCTGGGGCTCC